AGGCTATATATTTTCACGCCATTAAACTTAGGGGGCAAATATTTTGGATAAAAACCCTAATGTGGGAAAGAGACCACAAGTTGCTGCCAACATCAAGGAAGCAAGATTTGTCATGGCATGTCATTTTGACATTTGCAATTGACAATTTGACATATGTAAACAATAAAATAATTTTACGCTGATGAAATCGCATGGGAACAGCTAGAATGGAATAAAAACCTATCATTACAAATACACTTATAATGTAGTTATACAATACAGAGGCGTTTTGAGTTAAAATTTATTTAATTAAAAAAAAAATAATGTTATTATTTACTTAATAAGTTTTAAGACTTCAAACATAGTTAAATTTGTTCGTTAGTAAGTTACGTAGATTTTTACTGTTTTAAAATGAAAAATCTCTATTAAGCGACCGCTTAAGTAACCAATAAATGACAATAAACCATACTCTATTCAAATGCAGTGGTCATTGAAGTTATAACACATAAAGTACCATTCAACGTATCGTTTAAAATTCAAAACGAATTAAATTTTAAAACTAACAATAGGGAGGGATTAGTTACGAATTCAATTGTGCGAAAAATCCCCGTAGCGAGAGCCCGTGTGTCAACATGGCCTCTGTAGAGATACGACTGGTTCATACTGGGCACTTTTTTAATTGGTTTTGGTTGAACTTTATATGACAAAAAAAGTTTCTACATTATAATACTAGCTTTCGCCCGCGACCCTGTCCGCGTGGAATTAAAGAAAAACCAAAAGTAGCTTATGTGTTCTTCCAGACTATGTCCTATATCTATGATAAATTTCACAGAGATCCGTTCACCATTTAAGGCTACAAAATCCATCCATCCATCTAAACTTTCGCATTCATAATCTTAGTATGATAACAATGCAATCATATTATTATTTGGAAACGATTTATCTATTTTTGGACGTAATAAAGCTCGGTAAGACCCAATAAATCGCGGCACTAAATTTTCATTTAATTACCTGCTATTTTTACATAGAACATTTTAAATAGAATCTTGAATTACATACTCGTACAATTTAAATAAAATTAAATACCTAAGTAGAAAGTATGAAGAGATGTTTGTTCTAGAGATTTCTATAGTCGATTCGAGATAACCGTTTCGGCGCTCGCTCGGGACTCGAGGGCGTTCAAAATGGCGATTAAATATTAACCGACGAATTAACTCCGTGTCTTCAGCCGTCGACACCAATTAAGCGCACAAAGTAACAAAGTAAATAACGCCAGACGTCACCGATTAATTTTGTACGAGCGTTTCCGAATTTAAGGCGCAGTTTGTTTAAAGGTTGCCGGCTCTCGTGATTTCGATTAATTGTTTATTGTTATTTCTTTGTTTCTTTTGAGTTTTGAAACAAGAAACAAGCAAGTAGAAGAAGTGAAAAATATCTTTTATCTGCACCAAAGTTGCCTTAATTTTATTACAAAAAGTCTAAAACGATTTCACGTCTTACCAATTTAGTTAGCACTTGCATTTACAATATAAAATGATGACCACAGAATAAAAATATTGCTCCCTTTTCTCGACACAGGCAAGCATAACAATCGTGTATCGTAACTATAAGAGGCCGCCAACTGGTACCTTATACAGATTAAATAGCATTTGCCCCGCGTCCTCAAAGGAACACTTGTATTGAATGCTCGAGGACGGCTCTGATATTTCGGGTGACAAGGTTTACGACAGGATAAATAATAAAAAGTATAGATTTATCAAAAAAAAAATATATTTGAGCAGCAATAGAAATAAACTTAGATTTAGAGTTCTAATATTAATTATTTTTAGTGGTAATTCGACTGATTTTAAAGGGTGTGCAGTAGATGGTTTTTCAATAACAATAAATACTTTTTTTTTAATAACTTGCACTCACAAGTATGAGTTTAATTTACAAACTATTTATGCAAAATGTGAACGCATAAATCCTTTACGTAATCGAAATTCAGTTATAACATTTGGTCGAATAATATATGAAAACACTAATTCTAAATCAAACAAGGATTATCCACACTTAATAAAAATCAAGGGTATCCTAGTCTACCCTAAGTTTGACCCAAACAAGTCCCCTTTAGTTACGGATTATCTGGTGTAGTGTACAACATGCTGTCAATGCGATGTATTCGCGTTACATCGATTTAGGAAACAGTTTCGTGAATAGAGGAATGTACAAACAAATGTAGTCTTTACTGTTGCCTTATTTTTAACAGGAAACTGCTTTTAATTACTGGTATTTTGATGCAGAGTAAATAATGGCTAGAACGCTTTGAGCTCAGACTAATATGTGTGCTAAGTATACTGTATTTAAATTATTTCTTTAGATATCTTCTTTTAATAATCGAATTCATTCTTCTATAGTCTTGGAGTACCAAATTTATTAATCATTCATTTAAATAATTACAAATAGCTAGTTGTGTTACTCTTTATTATTGACTATCGATACTAATATTACAAAAAGGAAGGATTTGATTGGTTTTTTTACAAACATGCATTGAATTAGTTCAGAAACTATTGAACCGATTTCAAAAAACTTTTCTCCATTAGAAAGCTAAATTATCACAAACATGAGTACGTTTTAGGTACAAAGACATGGGAGAAATAGTATGCGATGTAATTCTCTGCCAGGCAAAACTGGGGCGACTAGTATTTCATATATTTACTTCGCTATTCTTTTCAAACCCTTTCACTACAATTATAAGTGGTGTTACCATATCATCCAGATTGTCTCTAAACAACGATTAGTTCTGCAAGTGTTGCTATTATATCCCTTAGGAGAATCCCTAACCGTCCCCCCGACAAGGGATAGACACCATATGGCCCTTGTAAGGGAGATATAATTACTAAATATTGTAAAATATTATACAAAATTGATGACAGACCAAGCGTGAAATAAATAATTAATTGACAGAATCTTTTATAAAGGGATAAAAGCACTTGCTTTGATATATTTGCACAATTTTATTGGCACTTTTTTCGTGATTTTTCTTATATTATTTTTAATGGTCGCGACTTTGACCACGCAATATTAAGATTAAATAAAATAGCCTATAATATGCCCGTCTACGTCAGCTTACCGTCAGTAAATTTCCTATAGAAATCGGCCCAGTCGGTTTGCGGACAGACAGACAGATAGACAGACAACGGAAATACATAATATTCTCTAAATCTGTATAAATTCTTCTTTTGATATTACAAGTACAAACAGACACTCCAATTTTATTGCATGTATAGAAAATATAGCGTAGAGCGAATGTATTCGGCAATCATATCAAAAAGTGTAACTGATTTAAAAGTTATGTCTTAACAATTCTAGGCGCACTGCACTATTCTTTAAGATAATTGATGATTAATCGATAAAGGACAGCCCTAAAGACGTGACATATGCAATCATTATGATAATGTTACATCATTTAACGTAATCAATTTGACGGCGCGCCCTACTGAGGGTTGGTTTGACCGATCGCGCCCTATCTCAATCACTAGTGATGTACACTATCGAATTATCGATGTTGGTTACTCTGGTACAAGGAATACGACCAAATCTTAAAATATACTAAGATTTAACCATTGCCGGATTCAATTTAATTATCGGGAAACTTGAAAAAGGCAATCATCATGTTTACATGCCAGCAATTTCTACAAAAACGAGAGGTAGCAATACCGAAAACGTCTGTGTGTTATAAAGTCTAATTTTATGCCGCGAAGATTTTAAGAGATTTCATTTAGATTGCTGTCTTTTTGTATTTTCTCTTATTGCTATTTATCGACACATTTCATCACGGTACATCACTTACAATGTGTTGGAAATGTCACCGCGAATTTAGTGGCGACCCCATGTTGTTTTAAAGCATTAGGGGTATGACTTTTCAAGTGGTGATTTATTAGTTTACAGTAGTTGTAACTTATTTTTTATAAACGTCGCCAACCCTTTATTTGTTGTTGATACTTGTTCTTTTTTAGGCTTTAAATGGCGCAGAGGATCGAGTTTTTAGTACTTTGTAGTTATAGTTAGTTAAACACAATACTATAGTTAAATATAAAAATATTCAATCAGAATATTGGAATGCATACTAAAATTTATCATAAGAAAATATTTAATCTATACCTACCTATAATAAAATTTGAGGGTCTGTTTGTAATATCAAAAGAAACATTTTAAACTTAGCGAAGATGATGTATTTGCGTTGCTAATAACGAAAATCGCACTTGAAAGTTTTTTTATCTGTCTGTTTGTCTATCTGTTCGCAAGCCGCGTTTGTTCTGGGCAATCCCCGAAAAGACTAGGCTAATTTCGACAGGACAAAAGCGGGCATATTATAGACTACTTTTAAATTCCTCTTTGTCAAAATGGGTTACCGGGTGGTCCAAATTTGCGCTAATTAAGTTTGCGAGCGACAGCTCGTCTTTAAAAAAATAACAAAAGGTAAAGTGAGAAAACAAATTAAAATAGCCTTGTTTTGTAATATTTCCAAAAATCGATATTCCAACAACCTGCCAGCCCTACAGTTAGGGCGTAAGTCCATACATTACATTTCCCTCCGTCCCCAATTCACCCAATTGATATTCGATACACCAAATTCACACGCACACTCTATTTGTACACAAATGATCGCTTTTGTTCTCACTCACTCTCGCTTTGTGATTTTATTGCCACAAGTCAATGAAGCTGTTTTATTATAATTGCCTATTTTACTCACTCATTACACAATTCGGCAAACGTTGGACAAATGGTTGGCGTGATTGTTATTATCATAATGGTTTTATGCATTCCAATTTTTGACGTAGTAATTGAAAAAGTGTTTTTTTTTTTAAGATAAGAATTAGATGATCTTTCGTATATTAGCCTGATTATTGACTACATTTAAGATTGGTAGCACGGTATTTAAACTAAAACTATGTTTCATGACAGAATATATATATAAAAACACATTTGTTAGAAGCTGTATTGTATATAGCATTTAATTGGTACGTTTTTGTTACAGCATGGAGGCTACAAATCTGGCTCTACCTCCACGAGAGTCTCTCAAGTCCCGATCGGATAAGGCTTTACAATTAAACGCTAAACCGAACCAGGTAATGAATACTTTTTTCTTTTTAGCTTAAACTTAACTGAAACAAAAACAAGTGACAACGTATTATAACGGACGCAAACCGTTGACTAAACTATCGCATAACTATTGTGCGATTGTCGATTGTTACACAGCCAATTCAACTGTTTAGTTGCACAACTAAAAATCTTAGTTCGCGCATCTCCACATAAGTTCTCAGAAATCAAAGTGTAACTAAACAGTCGGGTCAAAAATGTGCGCGCGCTCTTATAATATTTTGAATCTTAGTAGCAGAAATTAGTCAATGTAGTTAATTAGTGTGTTTATTTGCTTACTCTGCTCTGTTCTTTTTGTTTAACTGCTTCATTATTTCGCCAGTTTCTCTCACTTTCATTTATTTCAATGCGCCTAAAGTATAACAAGTTTTATCAAAATTAAACCTTCATTTTCGTACCAGGTGGGAACAGTACTACTATACGGCGTACCGATCGTCTCCTTAGTGATCGAGGGTGTGGAGAGACTCTGTCTCGCGCAGATCTCCAACACGCTACTCAAACAGTTCTCGTACAACGAGATTCACAACCGTCGCGTCGCACTCGGTATTACATGCGTGCAGTGCACTCCAGTACAGCTGGAGATACTGCGCCGAGCTGGTGCTATGCCAGTGTCATCACGACGATGTGGTATGTCACTATGTTAATGAACTATTTACAACAGAATTTTTTTACTGTATTATTAGATTGCAATCTGTAGATTGTATTTCCGAAAGAATAAATGAACACTACAAATACAAATATATAATGCTAACTGTTGCTCGCGACTTCATCCACGTGAAATTAGAAATATAAAAAGAAATATGGTCTATGGTATTCAGCGATAACATAGCTTTTTAATGGTGTAAGAATTTTTGAAATCGGGTCAATAGTTTTGAAGTTATTTCAATACATATAAAAATACAAATCTTTCCTTTTTGTAATGTTAGTACATAAGAGCTACACAAGCAAAAATAATTATACTCAAATAACCGATGTCTAGCTCAATTAAAGTTGGAACAAAGTCCTTATGTATTCAGGCTTATAAGTATCTACGACTGAGGATCGATTGGACGTCTGATGCCTATCGTGCAAGACAACGCTAAATATCAACAAGGATAGGACGCAATTTCTCTTAATTGGCCCTTAATTTTTTGTTCGATGATTTTATAAAATACGTTTCTAATAGGAATGATAACACGGCGCGAGGCGGAACGTCTCTGCAAATCATTTCTGGGGGATAACGCTCCACCAAGGTTACCAGATGACTTCGCGTTTGCTGTCCACCATGAATGTGCTTGGGGCTGTAGAGGTGCTTTTCTACCCGCCAGGTAATATTCTACAATCTATGTGTAGAAGGAAATATTGTTTCATCATTCATAACTCGGTTCATAGCTTAAGAAGGGAGTGGTTCAGCTATGTCGCTGATAGATATGGAAGAGCAGCACAAACTGTGCAGTCCCTCCGTAGGGATAAGGGCAATATGAGGATGATTATTCATAACTTGGCAAAACATTTCAAATGCATTGACATTAATGAGCTAGGAATCCATTTAATACTGAGGAACTAATAATTTTGTGAATAAAACAATCTGACTAGTATGTCAATGTTATATTATTCGATGTGGGATTTTGTCTTGATGTTGGTAAAGCGAAGCCACTTCCTTACTTTATTCCCATATTTGTATCAATTGTAGAATTACTTTTTTATTTTATATTCTTTTAAATTTAGATACAATTCGTCGCGTGCTAAATGCATCAAGTGCGCCTACTGCGGACTGTTCTTCTCTCCCAACAAGTTCATCTTTCACTCGCATCGCGTGGGCCCTGGAGATAAGTATGTCCAGCCTGACGCTGCTAACTTCAACTCCTGGCGTCGACATATGAAGCTTAGTGGAAGCCCGCCCGATGAAGTGGTCCACGCATGGGAAGATGTGAAAGCGATGTTCAACGGTGGGACTCGGAAGAGAATGTTATCCGCGGCTAGGTAATTGACGAAATTATACGGGGTATAATTAAGCTATACAAGAGCTATAATATTATTTGATTCTTGTATCAATGCGTATTAGTAACTAGCTTTCACCCGCAACTCTGTCCGCGTGGAAAAAAAACAAAGCTGAATAGCCTATGTGTTCTCCCAGACAATCCTCTACGTCTATGCCAAATTTCATCGAAA